ACCAAATGAAATTAATAGGCAGCAGGTTTAAAACAAACAAAAGGAAGTATTTCTTCACACAACATACAGTCAACCTGTGGAACTCCTTGCCAGAGGATGTTGTGAAGGCCAAGACTATAACAGGGTTCAAAAAAGAACTAGATAAATTCATGGAGGATAGGTCCATCAATATCTATTAGCCAGGATGGGCAGGGATGGTGTCCCTAGCCTGTTTGCCAGGAGCTGGGATGGGCGACAGGGGATGGATCACTTGATGATTACATGTTCTGTTCATTCCACTCTCTCCCGCCCCCCAACCCCTCTGACATTGGCCACTGTCGGAAGACAGGATACTGGGCTAGATGGACCTTTGTTCTGATCCAATATGGCCGTTCTTATGGTCTTATGTTTCATTACACGAAATGGAAGTGACAATGAACACTTCTGAGTCAGCCTAAGGAGAGAAGTTTTTTACAAACAAAACCATGTCTCTGAACAAGTATCCATCACTATCCATCTAATGCAGATGCAGTATATCATAAGTATTACAACAACTTCAGAAAATTTGCATGTCATAGATTGCAAATGACTAGGAAATACATTGTACACATGTCCTGGCTCCCATCTCTTCTTCAGGTGGAATCAGTAAAGCCTCAGACTGTCTTGGTGAATGTAGTACCTACATCTGTGACCACTAAGCAGGGCTGGCTCTGGCTTTTTGGCCGCCCCAAGCAAAAAACAACAACAAAAAAATGACACGGCCGGAGCCAGGGTGCAGGGGGGCTCCCTGCGCTGCAGACGTGCCCCGGCTAGCGAGGGGGAGGGAGCGGGGGGGAGAGAGAGAGGAGGGGGGTGGCCAGGGCTTCAGCGGGGCGCTACCACACGGCCCCGACCGGTGCGCTGCCTGCCGGGAGGCTCCACACCGCTCAGGTCGTCTGGGAGGGAAGGACGCGGACTGCCCTACCGGGCTTGCTGCAGGGCACTCCCGTCCTCCGCGCCACCGCCCCCTACAGGGCGGCCGGAGCGGCACAACAAACAAACAAACAAACAAAGTGGCCGTGCTGCCCTAGGATTGGGCGGAATGCCGCCTCAAACAATCTGCGGCCCCAAGCACCAGCTTGCTCGGCTGGTGCCTGGAGCCGGCCCTGCCAATAAGTGTAGAATTGACAACATGAAGATGCACATCAAGTTTATGTCTGTGGGGCGGGATCTCAGAGCCTCATCAGACATGTGAATACTATGTATTTGGGCTGATCAAAATGTTTCCATTACAACATAATTTTTCTCAAAAAGTGTCTGTTTTCTGCAGAATATTTTGAGTTTTAGTTAAAAAAACAAAAAACTTTTTGGCCAAACCCCCAAATTTTTTGGTTTTTGAGGTCAAAATTTTCTGCAGAAAACAAAACCCATTTTTCAAACAGGTCTAGTGTGTATACACAGAAGGATGGATGGGGTAGGTTGAGTTCTCTGTCTCACAGTGGATGGGAAAGGCTCTGTCTCCAGGCTTTCTATGGAACATAAGAAGTGAGCGATTGTGATTGCTGTACCATATTAGGAGTGTGGATTGTGATGGATTTGGGTCTGTGGAGAGTAAAATACAAGATGTTGGTATCTCTGGCCTATAATGGGCAGTTGGTCAGGAGAAAGGCTGCTTGTAGCTTGTATGTGGTGGTTGAATGGTGGTCTGCAGGTCAACAGGATAAGTGTGGGAGCAGGTAGTAGGGGTCTGTAGCCCATATTGGAAATGTAGATGGATTAGCTTAGGTATGGTTAAGGAGGTTTCTGGCCTACAGAGGAAGGCTCTTGAATGTTACAGAAAGAAAAACAATCAGCTTTCTATGTTCAGTAATTCATTTTACTGCTTTAGAAATTTGTAAGACTAAGAAATGCAAATGTACTTTTGATGTGCTGATTACTTTGGGGTGCACAAAAACATGAAAAGTAACTGTAATGAAATATCCCCTGGGTGTCTTGGAACATACAAAGGGGACACAGGAGGAGTTCCCTAGGAAACAAGAGATGCACTCCCAAGCATGTTTAAGCTTGGACAGATGACAGCTAGTCAATTGAGCTCTGAACATCATTGCTAGAAGGTATGTGATTCAACTGAAAAGTGTGGTTGGTAGGATTAAATGTGGAGAGCCTTAGATTTCTGAGAGAACCTACAAGGGAAGCAGGCTGGATAGATTAGTGTCCATAAATCCTTTCTGAAACTACTGAGAGGGATAAAAGGCTGATCAGTAGTTTATCCAAAAAAGGTGGCACCTTAAATAACTCTAAAAAAAGATTGTAGGGCACAATTCTGCCACTTAGGTACAGACCACATTGGAAGCAGCGGAAGTCACACCATTTGTCCTGGAGCCCCCTGATACCCAGGGGGAGTGTGTCAATTGCACCACACTCTGGCAAGGTGTAATATGCTCTGCTTTCTGTAGCTGGCCAGCTCAAATCCATGTCCTCTTTGGGCTTGTTTAGGAGAGTGTAGACAATCTAATTGTGCCTGATGCATCTATGGGGTGCAAAGGGGAAGAAAATATCTTGCTGGCCAGGAAGAGGATAAATACAACTTGTCCTCAGTAGTTTTCAAACAGCTGTCTGAGTGCGATCAGTGGTCCTTAGAGTCCCTCTTGGCAGTTCACAGTATGAAATATTTTGAGAATCAAGCAGTTGGAGTTTGGGATGTTAGGAGAGGAGGTG